AGTGCGACTTACTATACACAAGACTATCTACTACAACTGGCAGGGCTATACAGTGCTATTATAATATACTCCCCAACAACACTACAGGTGCTATAACGTTATATAATATCCACAAGACTACTACAACTGGCAGGGTTATATCGTGCTATTATATTATAACAATGTACTACAACACTACAATCACTGGGACTATACAAGTGTTGTCTATTATATCTAGCATGGCTGAAGACAACAGTGATAGAGTCAACAGTGGATATAGATATACAGTGCAATAGAGAAGAACAATTGAAGAACAGGTTAGGACAGTATATACATGCCGTTGAACACAGTATAGGATATAGCATGATATAGGATTATGACATAGGTAATGGTGAAGAGGAAGGGTAGAATATGTTATAGAATCAGATGGTGGTGATGGTGACGATGATGGTGGTGTTGATAATAATGATATAGATGGTTATGGTGAACTTGACAATAATAATGATAATGGTGATAATAATGACAATAAAAATGATGGTGATAATAATGACAATAATAATGATGGTGATAATTATGAAGACAATAATAACAATAATGATGGTTCTCTCATTATCAATAGACAAATACAATAATTTCAAAAACGAAACTATAAAAAATAAATACACTTTTCAACCAATGTACGTACATAACCCACCTACCCAGACCAAATAAATATATCTATCTACTTACACAAATAACCACTGATATTTACTTACAAAGACAATATCTCCACTTCTAAAATTTTGACTATTTCGAAAACAAATGAAAATCGACCAGATAAGAACCCTAGGCGCCATTAAAATGTGGAATCTTTAAAAACAAACAAAAATCGGACATATAGGAGACCCAAACACTTTAAAATTTCGAATATTTAGAAAAACAAATGAATACCAGTGATAGAAAGCCAAAACATTTCTAAAAACGTATTATCTTGAAAACAAAATGAAAAAAAAATAGATAAAACCGGACAAGTAAGAAGCCCACACTTAAAATTTTCAAATATTTAGAAAACAAAAGAAAATCAACTAGATACGACGCCCAGACGCCATCAATACTGTTATTAATAATAGCGTGGCGTCTGTTGGGGGTTCGTCCAGGCCGGCACAAGACTACTCTCATATGCAGGGGAAAAATAATACTTTGCTGAAACAATGACTGAGAGCTGTGGCAAAATTCAGCAGATGCAGCAGAGATACACCAGCGGGAGGTATTTATCTCTCTATATGAGGAAGCGATGAGTCAGATATACAGAGCTAGAAATATTTATCTCTACTTGAAGAAGCGATAAACCAGAGATAATAAACTAGAAATATATATATATATATATATATATATATATATATATATATATATATATATATATATATATATATTTCATTTTTAGTCCATATAACAAGCGGACTTTGAACATATAATCAACGACCTCACCAGCCAGGACTCGAACCCTCGACCTAATTCATGGGAACAGGGAACGTTACCGACCATACCACAAGAGCACTAAAGGCAGTTCTAGACTATGTGATATTTCACACAAAGCCTGTTCATCGAGCTGATGGCGCCGTGAACCTCTCATTGAGAACTGCCCGTGCTGCTTATGTGGATGTCAGTAGCATTTTACCGAATCCAGCTGGTATGAAACACGAGGTACCATGTATACTTCATTTTTAGTCCATATAACACGCGGACTTTGAACATATAATCAACAACCCAATGAGAGGTTCACGGCGCCATCAGCTCTTGTGGTATGGTCGGTAACGTTCCCTGGTCGAGGGTTCGAGTCCTGGCTGGTGAGGTCGTTGATTATATATATATATATATATATATATATATATATATATATATATATATATATATATATATATATATATATATATATATATATATATATATATATATATATCAATGAAAACGTGTGATTTTATCAAGATATATATATATATATATATATATATATATATATATATATATATATATATATGTGTGTGTATAAACGTGTCAGGGACCTTCAGCAGATCCAACCAAACCAGAAATAAAAATGTCTCTTTTCTACACAGCGACATAAACTATTTGGCAAACCTAAGCAAATTTATCATCGACAAAGCGCTTGCACCTGAAACACTTATAACAAAATACTGAAATTATATCATTCTTCAGACTATAACGCTGTTGATGTGCTTAGCAAACTGACTAGGAGCATCGGACTAAAAGTGTCTTATACTACACACATAAAGCAGGATAAAAATTGCAAATTCAGCTCGGTGTTAACATTACTGAAACTTGTCTCGCTACTGGTGCGTGTTGGAGGAAAACTTTCGGGGAACTTTCGCTGACTCACAGAGACATGGGGCAATTGGGGCAAAACCGTAGTGGTATGTTTAATGTACACCTTCTCCTGTTCCAAGCCCTGATTGATGTGCAGTGCCCCCTGTTATGCCATTAACAAATTACAACGCCCTCCATGCCATGCCATGACAAATGTACACTACCCCCATGCCATGCTATGAACAAGTGTTAAAACGATGTACACAGAACCTGAAATACACAGAGCGGCGTAACCACCCAAATGTTTATATTCAAATACACTTTAAGAACACAAGATACCAGGTTATAACCCAAATGGTGGAAGAATATAAAGAAAGAACAAGATATCCACATATTACTGGAACAAGGGATTAGTGAACACAAGAACACATTAACGTAAAGGATAAGTGACTGTAAAAAGTATAAGTAACGATGAAGGGGTGTTGTGATGGAGGTGGTGTGGTGAGGATGTTAGGGTTGAGGGTGTTGTGAGGTGTTGTGGTGGGTGAGGGTGTTGTGTGGGGAGGTGTTGTAGTGGGTGAAGGTGTTGGGTGGGTGGGTGTGGTGGGTGAGGGGTGTGTGGAGGGTTGGGGGTGTTGTGATGGTGGGTGTTGGGGTGGTGTGTTGTGTGGGTGAGGGTGTTGTGAGGGTGAGGGGTGTGGTGTGTGTGTGGGTGAGGTGTTGTGGTGGGTGAGGGGTGTTGTGGTGGTGGGGAGGTGTTGTGGTGGGTGGGGGTGTTGGTGGGTGGGGTGTTGGTGGTGGGTGGTGAGGTGTGTTGTGGTGGGTGAGGGTGTTGTGGTGGGTGAAGGGAGTGTTGGGTGGGTGAGCTGGTGGGTGAATGCTGGAATGTTGGTGGGTGAAGGGGTGTTGTGATGGGTGAGGAAGTGTTGTGATGGGTGAGGTGTTGTTTGGGTGAGGGAGGTGTTGTGTGTGGGGGTGTTGTGGTGGGTGAGGGTGTTGTGGTGGGTGAGAGGGTGTTGTGTGGGTGAGGGGTGTTGGGTGGGTGAAGGGGTGTTGTGGTGGTGAGGGTGTTGTGGTGGGTGAGGTGGGTGTTGTGGTGTGTTGTGAGGTGTTGTGGTGGAAGGGTGTGTGGGTGAAGGTGTTGTGGTGGGTGAAGTGGTGTGGTGGGTGGAGGGTGTTGTGATGATGGTGGGTGTTGTGGTGGGTGTGTTGGGGTGAGGTGTTGGTGAGGTGGGTGAAGGTGTTATGTTGGGTGAGGTGTTATGGTGATGGGTGGTGGTGAGGGGTGAGTGTGTGTGTTGTGATGGGTGAGGTGTTGTGGTGGGTGAGAGGGTGTTGTGGTGGGTGGGTGTTGTGGTGGGTGTGTTGTGGTGGGTGAGGGTGTTGTGGTGGGTGAGGTGTTGTGATGGGTGAGGGTGTTGTGGTGGTGAGAGGTGTTGTGATGGGTGAGGGTGTTGTGGTGGGTGAGGAGGTGTGGTGGGTGGGTGAGGTGTTGTGATGGGTGAGAGGGTTGTGGTGGGTGAGGTGGTGTGTTGGGATGGGTGATGGGGTGTTGTGGTGGGTGAGGTGGGTGGGTGGGGTGTTGTGATGGGTGGGGAGTGTTGTGATGGGTGGGGGGTGTTGTGGTGGGTGAGGTGTTGTGATGGGTGAAGGGTGTTGGTGTGGTGTTGTGGTGGGTGAGGGTGTTGTGATGGGTGTGTTGTGGGTAAGGGTGTTGTGGTGGGTGTGTTGTGGTTGGTGAGTGTTGTGGTGGGTGGGTTGTTGTGGGGTGAGGGTGCTGTGTGGATGTGAGGGGTTGTTGTGGTGGGTGAGGGTGTTGTGGTGGGTGAGGAGGTGTTGTGGTTGGTGAGGTGTTGTGGTGGGTGAGGGGTTGTTGTGGTGGGTGAGGGTGTTGTGGGTGTGTTGTGGGTGAGCTGTTGTGGTGGGTGAGGAGGTGTTGTGGTTGGTGAGGTGTTGTGGTGGGTGGGGGTTGTTGTGGTGGGTGAGGTGTGGTGGTGTGGGGGTTGGTGTGGAGGGTGAGGGCGTTGTGGTGGGTGAGGGTGTTGTGGTGGGGTGAGGTGTTGTGGGGTGGGGAGGTGTTTTGGTGGGTGAGGTGTTTTGGTGGGCGAGGGGGTGCTGTTGTGGATGAGGGAGGTGTTGTGGCGGGTGAGGGAGGTGTTGTGGTGGGTGAGGGAGCTGTTGTGGTGGGTGACGGATGAGTTGTGGTGGGTGAGGAGGGTGTTGTGAAGGGTGAACGTTGGTCCCAGAGGCCTGACTGCCCCTTAGGGACAGTGTGGATACAGGACACTGCATAAATATTAAGGATCTGTGGTCATAAAGTTGATATTCTGATAACTAGTTGTTTTGACAGACACTGGAGTTTAAAATTTATATAATCGATTTCCTTGATTAATTCTAGCATTTTTTTGTGATGAAATTTTGCTTATAATCTCAATACAGTGTAGGTTGAGTATAGTGAACGCTTACCTCCGAACACCATAGCACTGATAAATATTCTAAAAAATTAATTTTCTTTCTGATTCTAAAACCTGTCCATACTAACGTGTTCGGGGGTAAGCGTTGACTTTACACCTTGGCTGACCATCGATTAATTGCTGGTTTGTTTGTTTCGGGAAGTGAGGGAGGGATGGACCCAGCGATGTTGCAGGTTACGAATTTCAAGCCTGCCAGTCTTTGTGGCTTATAGATGCAGTTTAGGGAGAGAGACATTGTGGACGCCTGGATCGCCGTCTTTGAACCACTCTATCTCTGGGGAGAGTCGCCCAGGGCCACACACCATCAGGGCAGCGTGCCATGGTGGTACTGTAGCCTCCAGGAGTACTCGGAGATGTGCGTCTCAGCTGAAACAGAAAAAAAGACTCAAATCAGAACAAGTCTACCTTCCTCACACACACACACACACACACACACACACACACACACACACACACACTAACACACACACACACACACACACACACAGACACACAGACACACACACACACACACACACACACACACACACACACACACACACACACACACACAAAATTCACCTGCCCAGCCATCTTGTGTCATTAGTGGGGGCCAGATAAGCGTAAATGAGAAATAATCATCACATTATAGGTATTATTTTCTCCCGGTTACTCAACACACATACATGATACTGCACATTAAGATAATATATTCCTAATCGACTCGTATGAAAAACCAATTAAAAGGGGGAAAAATAATCGTGTTGGTAATTTATTTTCGTTTTAGGTAATTGAAAGGTAAATCACATAAGCCTTTTGATGGTCGGTTTGATGGGGTTGTTGTGCCATTCCCTAAAATGACGAGCGTTGCCTAATTCACAGTAAATATCCCGTACAGGTATAATAGCACAGGTTTGCATTTCGTGACAAAGAGGTGATTCCCTACCCAAGTTTTACACGACAGAGAGATGCTTAGTTCATACTTTAATCTCACACTTACCAAGAATTATAATTGTAATCTTTTAAATCTCTGCAAAAACCATCATCAACTCTTGTATGTATGTCATTATATAATTCGTATTTTTTTTCAATTACAATGTAAACACACACCTATTATTCGAACACTCACACAAGCCTTCCATATGCTTATAACTTCACACATTTGATAACATATATTTGTTTTCACACTAACACACAACACTGTACTCACTATTTCCACATCTCCGTTAACACAATACAACACAACCAAACTCGTTTCCCTCGACGTGACTGAAATTCCCTGACAGCGCCATCCGCGATAACCAAACAAATGTAACCCCGTCAGAGCAGGTTAAATTACCCCTGTCACAACACCATGAAAAGTAATGGTGACCGGGAAAAAAGGCAATAATTCCCGCTATCATATATCAGTGTTCTAGTATGGTGTCACGCGTTTGATGTTCTACCTCATAGAAATAACAAATTAGAAAATAAAATAAATATCAACATTTTAAAGTATTTACATTACATAACATTAAAATGATACATATCAAGCCTTTATGGTACTAACATCATCAAACGGTGTGACATTGAATGCGTTTTGTTGACAAGGAAAGTTTGAACTTTTGGGCGATATTCTCGTGTTGCAAATATTAAAATCCAGGTCATATGACATGTGAAGGAGTTTCTACAGCCTAAAGTAAGTATTATTCTACAGTAGAGGATACAGGTTGTGTGTCCTGTATCGTAACACACCGTCAACAAGTAAATCAGTAGAGCAACAAGACGTGAGAGAGTGGGAGGATCAATGAGGTGTTGTACCCTACCATCACCGAGCATTACCCGTGTTGTGGCCTGCAAAGTTAACTCCCTCTACCCGCTGCTACTTGTGCTGTTATTGCTGCTGACTCCCCGAGCACAGCCAGGTACCTTGTGCTACTGCTGCGTTACGGTCAGGTCACCTTTTTCCTGTACCACCGCCGCCGCCTCCGTCAACACCACCACTGAGGCTGCTGGATATTTGAGCAGTGTGCGCTGTTCCAAAACACTGTAAACATTTTGCCTTACTGAGCCACCCACGCATGAGTAACTAACACAGTCACAACACAGATCGGCTCAGGTTCTGCTCATCTATTTAACACTGGCTAAGGTCTCAAACGCAGGGGATTTTGTTTACTTAGTACAGTACAGGTCATCAGGTTGTCTTTGTTGTTTGCCCACCCCATTTAAGAGAGAGAGAATGTATGTTACACTTTACCCTGAGGTCAGCGGTGACGTCAGTAAACTGGTAGATCAGCTACGAGGGGACGGTGTACAGGAAAGGTTGTTTTGTTGCTAGTATAATAAAGGTGTGTGTGTGTGTGTGTGTGTGTGTGTGTATGTGTGTGTGTGTGTGTGTGTGTGGAGAGAGAGAGAGAGAGAGAGATAGAGAGAGAGGGCAGGCATATCCTTTCTCTCTCTCACACCAAGGTCAGCCAACCATATAGGATACGCAACCAGCCCACTCCATTTATCCCTACCATGCCAATACTTACCTACCGCCCACCCCCTCTGCTGCATCCCCAAGGTCGAGGACTACAATTTACTGCTAATTGGCGGACATAATTGTGTTGGTGGGAGCGGCGGTGCGGAGTCAGTGTCGCTGCCAGGCCTTACACTTGGGGTCATGCTCTATAATATACTGTATGTTTTCATTAATATAGGGAGAGATATATAGTTATGTATGAGTGTATATTATTTGTTATCAACGTCTTACAGTTGTTCTGTCTGGCGTGATGTACCAATTGTCTTTATTCGTCCGTGTGTTTTGGTGACAATTACACTAAGCTCTTGTGAAGTAACGTGTACCAAGCAGGCATACTATCACGACCTTCACGACCATTCTTGCTGTCGACACATTCACACTATCACACTCATACTACTATACTATACTGTACACTAACGCAACGACACTAGCGCAAATACACACTACAACATAACCTACAGCAAGAACAATTACATCTCGTCACCACTTGAATGAATTATACCCATGATTATTTAATGCACATTTACATTTGAGATTTTATTCACATATGTTGGTACCCATTTTTGTTGGAGTAAAGGTATGATGCTTAATTGGTCGTGTTTGGAAGGTGATGACGGGGTTGTGGGTGAGAGGAAGCGGGATGGCCGTACACACTCCATCTTTCCTCTCCACACACACACACACACACACACACACACACACACACACACACACACACACACACACACACACACACACACACACACACACACACACACACACACACACACACACACACAAACAAACAACGGAAACACCTAGAAGAGTTGCAAGATCATTCTCCTCCTACCCACATACTCAAGGCTCCAACATACTGACCTCCTGGCCCTCTGATCATCACCACAACCTTATCTGAAATCTAGAGAAGCTTCACCATCCCCGACACCGGCTCCTGCTTCCACCTGACATCCTCGATCATGAATTGCTGTTAGACACCACAACCGTATCCAGCCCATACGAACACGTATTGAGGACTTAACAACACCCCACCCCACCCCCACCCCCACACACCCCACCCCACCCCACACACCACACCCCACCCCACACACCGCACCCCAACTCCCACACACCCCACCCCACCTCCCCACCACACCCCAACTCCACCCCACGTCCCCACACACACCCACCTACACCCCAACCCCAACCCCACACACACCCCACCCCACACACACCCCACCCACTCCCCACACACATCCTAACCACCTCCCCCACACACCTCACCCCACCCCACCTCCCCAGACACTCCCCACCTCCCCCACACACACCCCACCCTCAACTCCCCACACACCCCACCCCACTCCCCACACGCCCCACCCCACCCCCACACACCACACCCCACCTCCCCCACACACTCCCACCTTCCTCCCCACACACATCCCAACCCCACCTCCCCCCACACACCCCACCCCGCCCCCACACCTCCCCCACATAACTCACCTCCCCCACACCCCCACCTCCCACATCAACCCACCCCCACACCAATCCCCACCTCCCCCACACACCTCACCCCACCCCACCTCCCAACACACCCCACCTCCCCACACACCCACCCCAACCCCACACACCCCACCCCACCTGCCCACACACCCCAATCTCACCCCACTCCCCACACCCCCACCCCACCCCCACACACCCCACCCCCACCTCCCCAACACACCCCACCCCACACACCCCACCCCACCCTCCCCCACACACCCCCTCCCACACACACCCCACCCCACCCCCCACACACCCCAACCCCACCCCACACACCCACCCCACCCCACACACCCCACCCACCCCACACACCCCACCACCCCACACACCCCACCTCCCCACACACACCCCACCTCACCCTCCCCACACACCCCACCTCACCTCCCCCACACACCCCCACCCCACACACCCCAATCCCCACCCTCCCCCACACACCCCACCCCCACCCTCCCCAACACCCCACCCCACCTCCCCACAACACCCAACCCCACCCCACACACCCCACCCCACCCTCCCACACACACCCCACCCTCCCACACCCCACCCCACCCCCCACACACCCCACCCCACCCTCCCCACACACCCCACCCCACCCCCACACACCCCACCCCACCCTCCCCCACACACCCCACCCCACCCCCACACACCCCACCCCACACCCCACCCCACCCCACACCCCACCCCACCCTCCCCACACACCCCACCCCACCCCCACACACCCACCCCACCCCACACCCCACCCCACCCCACACCCCACACACCCCACCCCACCCCACACCCCACCCCACCTCCCCCACACCCCACCTCACCCCCACACACCCACCTCACTTCCCCCACACACCCCACCTCCCCACACACCCCACCCCACCTCCCCCACACACCCCACCTCCCCACACCCCACCCCACCCCCACACACCCCACCCCACCCTCCCACACACCCCACCCCACCCCCCACACACCCCACCCCACACCCCTCCCCACACACCCCAACCCCACCCCACACACCCCACCTCCCACACACCCCCACCCCACCCCCACACACCCCACCCCACCTCCCCACACCCCACCTCCCCACACACCCCACCCCACCTCCCCCACACACCCCACCCCACCCCCACACCCCCACCTCACCCCCACACACCACCCCACCTCCCCACACACCCCACCCCACCTCCCCCACACACCCCACCCCCACACACCCCCACCCTCACCTCCCCACACACCCCACCCCCACACACCCCACCCCACACACCCCACCCCACTCCCCACACACCCCACCACCCTCCCCACACACCCCAACCCC